TCTAATTATATCAATCTTTTTTATCACGCCCACAGGTATCAAGTAAGTAGACATTAAGAACACGAGAAGACTACTTAGTACAGAGTTGATGCAGAGGATCCTATCACCCATGGATAAATGTCTATTTTTCCTGCAAGATAGTTTTTTTTTTCAAACCTCTCCACCAATGTAGACCAAGTGGTTTTCCTTCTTATATGAGCTCCGACTAGCATTCCTAGGTATTGAAATGGAAGTTTTCCAGATTTACAATGCAAGAAGTAAGCTAGGCGATTAGTTTCCTCCATATCAATATTCAACCCAAGTAGAAGGCTTTTGTTATAACTTATTTTAAGGCCTGAAATAAGTTCAAAGGTCCTTAAAATGCTTTTGACTGTTTTGATGCTATGCTCATTTGCTTCTAACATAATTTTTAATATGTTATACTTCATTATGATAATATTCAAATAATAAATTTTTAGTCTAACATAATTTATACGAATGAAATTTTTAATCTAACAGTTAATTTTTAAAAATATTAATTTAAAGATAATTAAATTTTAAAAAATACTCTTCAATTTTTTTTAAATGATGACTTATACTACACTGCGCTGTATATGTTATATATACTTTTTATTTGGAAGAAAAAATAGAGAAAAATGGTGATTTGGGCAATTGGGCCTTTTAGTCGTTACTTCTGTTAGTAGGGTCCATCAGGGGTGCAAATGACATTTAACCATCTGACATCAACTTCCAAAGCCTACACTGTCGACCATCGTCCCCTTTATATATTGGGAATGGATGACGAGTCACCCGTCCACAGCAAAACTTCTGTGCAAGGTTTTGAAAATCAGACCGGATCGACCGGTTGAACCGGCACCCGATGTAAGAAATGGGTCGGTTGAATTTTTCAAACCATTTAAGTTATTGAACCACTTAAAACCGTTCAGACCGTTCAAACCGATGAAAACCAGTAACCCATCAAACCAACCGGGTCAACTCTTGGGACAAAATTTTCACAAGTTTGTCTCCATTGGATTTCGAACACCAGGTCTCATGAAGGGTAAGCAAGCTATTTGCCACTTGGCCACCTCGTGTCTTGTGACAAAAGTTGCAAAGAATATCTTTTAAAAAATGCTGTAAAGATTTTAAAGGGAACATGAGTTCAGTGAGGTTTGAACAGTAACCCTCTTGGATGCTCAACTAGATTCATGCCACTTGATCTGATTCAAATTTGTTGTCAAAGCATGAGTTAAGATATATTTATGGAAGAATTACATAAATTGAACAACTTTGTCACTTGTAGGATACGAACTGTGATTCTCCTCAATAAAAATAAAAGTCCTAACCATCAGCATCACAAGTAATTCTTGAAAATAAGTTGCATTATATTTAATTTAATATATATTTTCAAAATTTAATCAACCCGGTCTTTTCACCGGTTAAATCCGTTAAACTGTTAAAACCATGAACCGAAGATCAAAACGGTTTGACTTCCGGTTCGGTTTTGAAAACATTGCTTTTGTGAGGCAATAATGCAAACACAGGGCATGCAATTGCACAAATTCGAAGGTAAGGCTCTCGTAAGTACCCAGTTCTTGGTTCGTTTTCTAATTGCTATCACACGTAATATTGGCACTGTTGAGCCATGATTTTGATTGAAAGCCGGTTTGTTTCTTTCGTCTTTGCTTATATCATGAAACGGTACTCTACATACGTGACTTCTGTTTTTACCTTGCTTTTCCTTTTAGATTTTATCTCGCTTTTTGTACTTGGACACAACTAGTCAGCTAATTAATATTCACGGTCTATAGTCTATACATATTTTGTTGTCCGTTATAAAGATGTGGTTCTTGGAAAAAACCGTGAATGATGATCACTAATAATCAATGAATGTCACACATGAACATTAAAAAAAAGGGATAAAGGAATGTTTGTTTTAGTGTTTTGTAAATAGTTATTAATTATTAATTTTATTGTTTTTTGAATAGGTTAAAATTAGTTATATGTATTAGTCAATGAATGTCACGCATGAACATTAAAAAAAAGGGACATAGGAATGTTTGTTTTAGTATTTTGTAAATAGTTATTAGTTATTAATTTTAATTAA